GGGTTTAATATTTTTCCTAGAACTTTTTTTTTTTTTTTTTTTTTTTTTTTTTTTTTTTTTTTTTAAAAAAAAAAAAAAAAAAAAAAAAAAAAAAAAAAGAAAAAAAGAAAAGACAAGACCAGCTTAGTGAAGTCCCCACATGGACGGGGCACAGGGTTTTCTTGGGTACTCCTACACAGCGCTACTGAAACGTCAGTAAGAGTGACAAAGCTGTCAACAGCCGCCACGATCGCAACTGAACAATCTGCCTGTGCCACTGCAGCTACTGGGAATGAACATACTGGATCCAAGCTTCGACCAACACAAAGAATTAAAACCAAGAAGCCTATCATCTTAGTTACATTGTCATGGTTCTAAAACACTTCATTTTAGTTCTAATACTGATGGTAAAGCACCTGTCTTTCTGATGTCAGTCTTCCACCCCACACGAGCGTACTCAAACAAACAGCAACAATAATTCTCCTTGGCCGGGAACATTTTCCTCTTGCCAGCACCTATTGTGTTTGGTTCAGCATCTCCTCATATTCTAACCTGGCCTCTGGGTTTTTTACCTGATGGTATTTATAATTTTCTGCTATGATAGCAATATTAAGGAGCAACATGAATGATGGCGTATGAAGCAATGGAAAATGCAAACAGTTGTTCAAGCGTACTGTCTACATGTCCTGTACGTTATCAGTTTCTATTCCTTCTCACAGGATAAATACTGCTGGCAGCAAGGCTTCGGTGTTTCAAACAGCACAACAGCTGTATTTGAAGATGTGTACCATTATACGGGCACGCAAACACCACCAGCTAAGGGAACACTGCTTGAAAACCCTAACTTCCAAACTTTGAAGAATGTAACAGCAAGTTGCAGAACTTAATACATTATAGGGTCAAGACACATTTAAAGAAAACCACTGCCAATTGGTAAATGTTCCTTTCTTTGGGGTACAGAAGTACTGCTACCTACTATTGCACTAGCATCTAAGAATTATTTTTTTTTTAACTGAAGGAGTTAATACACAACCTTAGAGAAACTGATGCAGCACTTCCAAGAACTTATACCAGCATTTCCCTAAGCCTAGCAATAGTACAACATTGGGAAAATTTCCAGCACAATTCAAGATGAAAGCGATTCATCCTGCAATTTTCTTTAAATGTGCATTCATATGACTACCACCATCCTAATATATTGTCAGCACACAAAGGAGTGATGTTTCCAGGTAATGATACTAACAACAGCTGCAGTGTGGAACAAAACTTTAACCATTATGACTTTAGGCACGAAAGTTACATGTAAATTAGGGAAAAGCTTTAAAAATATTACACTGTGATACACAGCAAATGTCAGAAAAGGTAAACTTAGAACATCAGTTCCCTTAAAGTCACTTACAAAGCATTTGCTGTTCACTAATCTTATTAAATAAATTCTTACAGACATTCAGCCACATAATTTTAAAAATACAAACAAACCCACTGCACAACAAGGGTAAAAATAAGCTTTTCTGGGGAAGTAGCTTGTGCTAGGTCTCTGCCCCCTGGGAGCACAGCTCGAGGGATTTGCTTTAGGCAGATGGCAGAGAAACAGGACCCATTGCAAATATTACAGTGTACTCCAGCTCCACAGACTTCAAATGGAGTAAGATAGGTATGAATGAATAACAGTCAAAATGTGAATACAATGAATACACATTACAAGAATTATCAGATGATCTTACAAGAGAAATTACTAAGATTTCTCAGAATAGAAGTATGTTTTTTATCTCTCGCCTTACTGTGATCTGGGGAAAGATACTTCTCTTCCTCTTAAGAAATCCAGGAGGGTGAAGAGGAAGAGAAGGCAGCAGATGCAGCTAACAGTAAATTCTTATTAGCAATACGGTGCTGCGGCTCAGGATGGAATATAAGTAATTATAAATACAAACCTCCCTGTTGTAGCCAACAGGAAACAATTCTCATGTTCTTTTCAACACATATTTCAAAAAACACACAAGCAAAAGCAGGCTTTTTATACTGCTCTTAAAAACAGCATTTTTTTTAGCAAGCGAGATCTTTTTCATTGTTCTCTTTCCACTGTTTTACTGTTCTTTAGGAAAATGATACGGGCAGGAACAGAAGAACAGACGGTTTAAAAAAGCCAAAGCGAGGTAAGAAAGAAGATACATTCAGTGGAAGATTTTGCAAACAATCAGATCCTAAGCTTCATCAGCTGTTACAGGACAAAACATTACCAAGGGTGGTGGAAAGAATAATGTGTGGATACATCATCTGGAAGACATGCAGAAATGTTAAGTGTCAGGCTCTAGACAAAAGAATAGAAAGAAAAAAAATTGAACAGGCAGAGCACTAATTCAAATTAGCCAAATAAGGAAGTATAACATAATAAACGAATGAGGTAAAATATAAATTAAATCATCAACATATAAATGCTAGAATGTTCAGGGTCATAAATGATACTCACAATCTGCTAGCTTAATATGTATTAACTTCCTCAAGCACATTGGCAGAGTACAAGTCAAGATATCACTTACAAAACTCACTGACGGCAGAAAGCACAGCTAATATTTATCAGATCAAATAATTTTATCAAGCAATAGAAAGCTTCATCT